GAATGCTACCTTGAAAGCTGCGGCAAAGCCTGCTGTACCACAACACCAGCTCCTAAACCAGAGTGAGCATCTTTAAGAAAAGGAAAGTGAAGCTGAAAGACACACAATCCCCAGCAATGTCTACATTCATCTGCTTGGATATACACAGCTATGGCTCACTCATTCTCATTGCCACATAGCATTCTGTGTGTGGACACAGCAGAATTATTTAGACATTCTCTCTTGATGACTGGATTGCTTCTAGCTTTGGTTGCTTCGTAATTCACTGCCAAGACATCCTCATACAAGTTTTCTGGGAAATACATGCAAGGATGTCTCTAGAGTGTGCAGGATATTCCTCCCAGCTAAGTAATGCCAAAATGCTAAGGTCAATTTGTATTCCCACGAGTTCCTGTTATTTCCTGTCTGTGTTCATGCTTGATACTGTCATATTTTCCCATTCTTTTGCAGATGTGGTTGTTTGAAAATGACATTTGCTTGATGGATTTGTTTTTCACATTTCCACAAGTACACAGGAAATTAAGCCCAATTTCTATTGTTTATTAGTCATGCATATTTCCTCTTCTGAAAAATATGCATTTAAATTGGGTTGTTTTTCTCATTGATTCATTGTCATTCTTTACACATTAGAGATAGTAGCACAGTTTCTTAAGTATATATATGTCATCAGAAGATTTGTAATTCTTGAATATTGTTATTTTGTTTCCTCAGGTTGTAATTACTTCTCACACTGCTTTCTTTCTGAGCATACAGATTTTGAGAGTGGTGTTTCCTGGGCTTGAAAGCTCAGGAAAGAATAGTTACAAGATTGCCAACCCATAGCTTTGGAGAGAGGCTGAAGTAATTCAAATACTCAGTGATTCTATCAAGTGTATTCCCAGGGATTCAAATGCAAAGACTGGCATGAAGGCTCCACCTGCAAAGGTGAATTCAAAAGCCCACAGCAGATTGTCACTGCGCCCAGTGACAGTCACCAGCAAGACACCACTGGCCCCTTTAGGAGGAAAGAGCAAAGGAAAGATACGCAAGAGGCATCAAAAAAATCTGTGGAAAATGGAATTTAAAACTTTCTTTTGTGCAAAAAGAAAAAACCCTACCTTGAAAGTGGTGCATGTTTTTTTTCCCCATGAACTTTGAAGCCCCCTTTATACTGTGCACGAGTGCAAAAGAAACTATAGCCATTGAGAAATGCCCCCAATATATTTTTTTCAAATAAGCAGCACCAAAGAACAAAGGTATATTAGGGAAAAGCTCACCCAGCTGTTCTCTCCAGAAGCTTCCATGGGCTGAGCCTAAAGAGAAAGCAGCCAGGAAGAGATCCTGAGGTCCAGTCCCCAGTGATAAGGCTCCAAGGCACCGAGAAGGGAAGAGACCCGCCAAGACAGTGGGACAGGAGCTACCTGAGACAAGTGTGGGGAGGACAAGATGCGGCACAGCAAGGAAGGCCGCTGTGTCCTCATCAGCCACCTCCACAGCATGCAGCAGGGATCATACTCACCTACTCACCATCTTGGCCAAATTAGCAAGTATAACAAGCACTCAACAGGGTTCATCCAGAACTTTCAGCTGGTTAAGTATGTTCTAAGATTACATGGTACAACTGGGATGTTTAATCTATTTATCTGAGACTGCTTCTTACCAAGAGAAAGTCTCTCTCTCTCTCTCTCTCTCTCTCTCTCTCTCTCTCTCTCTCTCTCTCTCTCTCGTGAACGTGCTATGAGCATCAAGAGAGGGGATGCATGTGGAGTGCCTAATACAGGGCCTGGAACCTATCAGAGCCATTCAAATGCTGTCTGTTGCTATTATCACCAACCTTATGTAAGTATCATTTGCCTCATGGTACTCTGGTTGACAATGTTACAAATGGAGTCTACTTTTGAATGGATTTCCCATCATGTGGCCCACTATTGACAGGTTCCAGAAAATTCTAATCTGATCTAGAATATCCAGAATACCTATCTAGAATACCTGCATAGGGATCTACTAAAAACATAATAGCCCCATTGGTTCTGTAGTTTAGAGATATAAAGCATTTCCACAATAATGGCTGTACCAATACTTGAAGAGTATCTGAAGAATTACTATTTAAGAAACTGGGGACAGCACAGTGATGTAGCATGCTAATCCTCTCTCTGCAACATCAGCACTCCCTATGGCGCTGGTTCCAGTCCCAGCTTCTTTACTTCCAATCTAGCTTTCCACTTATGGCCTGGGAAAGCACCAGAGAATGGCTGAAGTCCTTGGATCCCCGTACCCACATAGGAGATCTGGAAAAGCTCCTGGGTTCAAATCAGCTCAGTTCTCACCATTGTGGCCCTCTGGGCAATGAACCCACAAAGATTCTGTCTCTCTCTTTGTCTCACCTTTTCTCTCTGTAACTCTGCCTTTCCAACAAATTAAAAAGAGGTGTGTGTGGGGGAGAGAGAGAGAGAGAGAGAGAGAGGCTGAAAAGACATACAACCTATTTTTCTTTTTCTTCTCTCCAAAACACATCACAATTATCTGGACTCTCACTCCCTCATTATGGTTTCCTATCCACCATTTACAATTAAGTTGCATAACAGGACATAGTTTAGAATCTTCCAAAAAGTTAATGTGAACTTTAGGTTTAATCAAGTACTACTTGCGCATCTATATCATATGTCCTTCCCATGACTTATCTTCTTTTCTAAAAGACTGCTCAAGATCTTGGCCAGTGATGATATGTCTTATCAGAAAAAGAAGTCTCAGAGGCAAAAAAAAAAAAAAAAATCCCCACCACATGTGCCAGTGTTATGGTGTAGCAGGGAAGACTACCATCTGCAGAACTGGTGGCCCCCACGGGCAGCTGTTGGGGTCCCAGCTGCTCCACTTCCTGTCCAGCTCTCTAGTGACGGCCTGAGAAAATCAGTAGAAGGTGGCCCAAGTATTTGGACCCCATCCCCACATGGAGACCTGGGTGAAGCTCCTGGCTTTGGCCAGTGGGAGTTGTGGCCATCTGGGGAGTGAACCAGAGATATAGGATCTCCTTCTCTGTACATCTCTTAAATTAAAAAAAAAAAATCCTCACCATTGGTTGTGCTGATCACAGTCAACCCAGTAAGAATTGCTTTCTCAGCACTGGGAACAAACGCTTATGGATGCCTCTCTTCTGTCCTGTCGTATTCAGGCCCACATGCTCAGCTGCAGTCCTCCCGGACCACGGCACGCCAGGCAAAGAACTCTTCACGAGTTCCAACCCCTGGAGGGACAAGCATTAAATTCCCTCTCCTTGGTCAATCTCTCATTTCTGGTACCCGAAACCAGAGTGCTCCAAAAGCAAGGTTAAAAGAGGATTGCCCAAGCTTTTCTAAGCATCAGCTCCTGTTGTATTTCACACACATGTTGTAAGCAAGGTGTAACTGACACACCATCAGTCTAGGAGAGCATACTGAAAAGCCCAAGAGAATAAGAACAATGGCACATGATGGTGCTCTGTGACTTAGGTGAATCCTGCTCTTATTTCCAGGAAGAAAAAAAAAAATTAAAGGGAAGACTGTGATCAGACTTGGAATCTTTTGTTTTGACAAGTTTTTAAAACACAGGCCACTTGCCTAGTGCCTGTAAGCTACATGAGATCGGATGTGGCAAGGCCAGTCAGTGAGGTTGCTCTAGGAGGAAGTAGGGCCCAGTGGTTTTGAGCAGAGCTTTGGAGCCACGCAGAACAGCTCAAGACTCCTGGTGCTAACACTCACCTGCTATTTGGCCCTAGACCTGCAACATCAGCATGCTGGCCCATGGTGTCTTGGTGTAACATGAACTCATCTGAATATTATTTGCTGATGCAATCCACATCTAAGTGCTAAATGCAGCCAACACACTCAAATAACTTTAACCTTGGGATGTTTTCAGCATCCTTATTGCTCAGTCTAATATTATCACACTGAATTGAGCTGCCTGGAAGATTCAAAACAAAAACAGAACAGTACCTGGCCACTCTGACAGACTGACCTCAGACTTCCGCCTCCAGAATTGTGAGAACTAAAGTATCTGTCATGTAAGTCCATCTCCATTGTAGCAAACAAGGCTGAGTCAGGAAGAATTACTTAACCGCTCAAATCAACTCTTCAAGATAACAGCATATTTAATGTTGCAATACAGAATAATTAAAAGTAGACATACAGAGTCTCCAAAAAGGTGCCACAAAATTTGAAGTGGGAGAAACATGCTGGTGGGCCGGCAGACTAAAATCAGTGTGTTTGTGTAGAACAATCAGTGACAAGGACAGCACCAAGATGACCTATTTTCACTTCTTAGGCCTTCAAGGCCTGTGTGGGTCTGCTTCCTTTCCACAACCACTTGTGCCACAGAATCCTAGTTCCTGTCCTCTCTCCAATTCAGTTCAATGCAACTTGGCTTAGTTACAGCTGTTTCTCTGTGTGAGGTCCCGAGGATATCAGGAGGTGGATCTACTGTCAACACACAGTCAAGCAGGGCAGAGAGAGATGCCAATTGGCTCATTTTATGCAAGTCCTGTCACTGGGGACAGTCCACACTCCGATATCTGGTATCATGTGTGAGGGTTCCCGAGGGAATGTCAACTTGGCTCCTACCAACAGACGTAGGTGTCATGTGTGCCCTTGCCCCAGTGATGGCAAAACCATCTCTCTGCCTGTGCCCTCTTGGGGCTTCCTTTCCTCTTCTGTTTACGCCATGGAACTGCCACCTCTTTCCTCATTTAGATCTAGGCTCTTTCCACCTGCAGATACCCAACCAGGAGGAAAGTGAAGCTTGGGGAATGGCCAAGAAATGCAGTCCTACTAACACGTTAAATACTCCCTATCCCTAAGATTGTTTTGAAACCCCGTGTTAGGTATTTTAGGAGCCCTGGTATTTGATCCCAGAAGCAGGATCACAAGGACACCAGGCATAAGAGCTTCCATCTTCTCCTCCTCATGGGTAGCTCTCCAGACTGCTAATCAATGGCAATACAAAGGGCTGGAGACAGATCAAGGGACACGGTGACACAGTCAAGGGTAGGCTTTAAAACTAAAGGGCTCAGATGTCTGGGTGATGGCACATGTGTCAACGACACAGAGCTGAAGCAATCCTCTCCCCAGAGACTGAGATGTGGGTCCCAGGCCTTTTACTGGATGCAGAAGAGAGAGGAGAAGAAAGCAGTGTAGCGATGAGCACAAACTTGATTTTTTACATTGATTATTGTTACAAAGAATTGATCATATTGGAAAACTGAGAAAATTGGTTTCCTTATGTCCTGAGTGAAACGGAATGGCATAAATAAGAACTACTTTTCCTTAATTCACAGAACTAGTGGTAATGTAAAAATCATAAGGTATCACTAAATTATTTTACATATGGAGCTGTTTTCCATTTATAAACTCTAAATAACAGACAGGTGGAAAATTAATTTCAGGGACCAATTTATGGTCATTTTAAAATTTCATGACCTAGAAAAATCCACCAGCCAAGTATTTTCAACAAAATTACTGCTTTGAGCAAAAACACAAACACAAGGCAAAACTCTGAGAGGTCATTTTACCCCTTCAGCAGTTGGTGCTGGCAAGTAAGCAGGAAAAGCTTTCTAAGTGTGAACACTAATTATACACCAAAGAGATCTGTATTGTTCTTATTTAAATGAAATGTATCTCTGAATGTGGAATATTTTTAAAAACTCACTTCATTTCCAAAATGACAAGGATTATTTGGGTTTTTTTTTTTAATTAAAAAGGAAAGGCTCATTACAGTTTCCCAAGGAATTTTTAGTTGAACATGGGGTAAGGAGTCCATTTGTGGAGTGCAGAACATCAGCCAGTGGTCAAGTCTTACAGATAAGAGTCCAAAAGGTAAGGCGCCTGGGATGTATCTGGGAAGAGACTCAGCCCTTGCAGGTGTGCCAGCTCTCCTTCTCCCCATCAGTACTGGGGTGAGTGTGTGAGCGGCAAGTGAAATCTCAGGGGGTGGGGGAGGTGGGGCAGGTTAGAAGATCTTGCACTCATTAATGGAGAACAGCCTTCGCCTATTCCGTCTCCTGGCCTGGTTGACTGCAGTTCGGACGGCACACTCAAATACCTGCTGGACTCCCCGGTTGCTAAGGGCTGAGCACTCCAGGTAGCCCTTGGCCTTCACATCCTGGGCTAGTCTCTTCCCTTCAATAGCGTTGATGCAGGCGGCCCTGTGGGGCCCCATCTCCCGCTGGTCAGTCTGCGTGGCCACCACCAGCACTGGGGTACAGGGCAGGTTGCTCCTGATTTCCCCGATCCACTTGTTCTTCAAGTTCAGGAATGAGTTGTGGTTGGCCACAGAGTAGCACATGAGCACCACATCTGCCTGCTGGTAGGACAGGGGGCGAATGCTCCGGAAGGCATCATTGCCAGCTGTGTCCCACAGGCCCAGGCTGATCTGGATGCCATCCATGAAGACGTCCACACCTGTGTTCTCATATACTGTTGGCTTGTAGGCTTCAGGGAAGGTCTCAGAAGTGAAACGCACCAGGAGGGAGGTTTTCCCCACAGCAGAGTCACCCACCAGCACACACTTAATGGAGCTCAGCATCTTCCGTGCCCAGAGTCCTTCTGTCAAGGGCAGAATCACAGGGAAAGGAGCTCTCAATGGGCTGCAGGGGCCAATGCCATTCAACAAGGAGAATGAAACCAGGGTCCGTCCCGCAGAGGTACTTCCTCCAATTGTCCTCTGGAAATGTGCTATGTACTTTGAAAAGCTTCCACGTCTGGTCTGTAACAGAAAGAGAAGAGGTGGAAATTGAGTCTTCTGTGTTTCTCTTTTTTGATGTCAAGGAGCTTCCTCACCCACAAACTGCTGAAATGTGGATCTTAGGATCACTGTGCAAACCTCATTCCTCAGCAAAGGAAGCTAAGATCTGCTGGCCTCCAACACAAGCACCCTCCATGCCTCCCAGGCTACAAGCAGATGCTGGTTTCATTTCTTAAACACCAGTCCAGGGACTAAAACACAAGCAACTGCTCTGATGGCAACATGAGCGGGGGGGAAAAAAATCCTCAGTGGCAACCTGGGGTAAAGCAGAAGTTTTCAACCAACTCTCAATCGTCTTCCACTCCAAGAGGTGGGGGAGATGGCTGAGTGTGCTCTCAGTAGCTTGGGTTTCTGGCAGATTCCAACTGCTTCAGGAACTATAAGAAAGAGAAGCATGATGAGCAACACACTGTGTGCCTTCCCCTCCATTCACCAACTCTGTGGTTCATATGAGAATTTCTGTTGAGTAGGAGAAAAGAAATCACCACAACACTAAAATTTTGCTGTGGTTTTCCCCTGAGGTTTGTTTCCAAAAACTGGCCACACTCCTAACAGTCCATCCTTGGAGTTTTCTTACCCACAAATAGCACAGCTTTGCACACATTGCTTGAACCTCAAGTCTCGGTGGAGACCTCAGCAAGGCTGTGCTAACTTTAGGAGCCACTTCTCAGACACAATGTAAGAATTCAACAAGTGCTTTCTCTCAGTGTTTTGGCAGACCTTTAGTGGGTGAAGGTCAGCTGGCCTCCTGGCAGAATTCAACACTGGCTGGAAAGCAACACTCCTCAGGTGCACAACATGAGTTAAACAGGATTGCATGAATACAATGGAACCTCAGCATCGTGAATGGGTCAAATCAATCATCCTTGAAATCCTGATGTTCCCCTCCAAGATGTTTTCATCCTTGTCAGACCACAGGCTTTATATACAACAGCCTTTACAAATTAGAAAGTTAAATAAGCCACGTGATTTTTATATGTTCTTTTTTAAAAAAAAATCCACATAAACCAAGGGATCCAAGACAAGTGGCCTTAGCTCTCTGAGGTTATATCTCTCATAAAAATGAGCACTACAGGGAGCCCTTATGGTAACTATTTCCAGTACCATCGTCTTCAAACACCAAATACTGACTGTCCACGGCAGGGAAGCTGGAATGTCAGCTGCTCAGCCAGATTCCAAAGATTCCCATCAGGTATTCTCACTGGATGTCCATCTGTCACTTGACCCTTGATGAAAGAGGCTCTGCAGGGTCTCAGACGTTAGTTCCCTAGACAGAGAGGCTAGCATATATATTCTCGATGAGTGCAGAGTCAAGTCAACTTAAGACATTTTTGAGTTTTGTTTTGATCCCAATGAATCAAGACCAGGACTATGAAGCATATGCACATATCAGGCTGATGGCTATTTAGATGATGTCTTTCTAATAGAATGGGTCGATGTCAGATGAATGGTAAAGAATAGGGCTTCAAATCAGGCTCACGTGGAAAGGACTCTAGTCTGTCACACCGACTACCTGTGTCAACCAGCCAGGAGATGCTTCTGGAAAACGTTCTTCTAGAAATCTTGGCTTTCTCCTGTGTAATGTTTCCTGGTTAATGTTGGCACCACAGGCTTTGAGGGCTGTTAAGTGTATTGTGCTTAAAGGTATACTACAGATCTTTATCTCAACATGCAATATAGACATACTGCATGGATAACATTGCTAAGTAATAATTACTATATATAATAAGCATTTGTTACTAGAGAGTGATGCTTTATGTATCTTATACCCAGTTGTGACAAGGAGAGAGAGAACTCTTCTTGTAGCACAAAGGCACAGAGATTCTATAACAAAAGACATTGTTAGCTGACCTTGCCCTCATGGGATACCAGGCAGTAGGACTGAAGAGACAGGCTTTACTCCCCCAGGTCTGACCCAGGGCAGCCCAAAGCACAAATGTGGCAAGACAAAGTGAGCCGTCATGGTTCTTGTCAATCAGCCATAGCAAACATAAGCACAGAAGTTGCTGCCTGATGACCAGGTGTGAGGGCAGTGGCAAATCTCAGCTACTTCAGCAGATGGCCAGAGGCAGAGCTGAGGGTAGCAGGTTAGAGCAATACCCTGCAGAGAGGGAAGATTAACCACATGACATGAAACACACGCCCAAGGCTGTGGCTCACATGGTCAGTACGTAAGGATGATAGACCAGATTTCAAGGCACTTTCCCTTTAGGCTGAAGTGACTTGCAGGCAAAAGGTGAGTGCAGGTTTTCAATGGTATCCATATAGACTTCACTGGCAGGACCTCCCCAGCTACATGGCTCTCCAGAAGAAGTCTTTCCTGCCTGTGTCTCCAGAAGGGATCATAAGTGAGACTGTTCTCCCAGGACTTTCCATCTCAGAACCTCCAGGGTCTCAGAATCGGACTGTTCTGGTCCTTTCTCATCTTTCCACCATTTTCACAGTCAGCACCTTCCTCAGCTCCGTGGTTCAAACAGACTAGGAGGGGCAAAGCAAAGGCTGCAGGTGCTCTGTCCTCACTGACAGATGGACGAAAGCAGGCAGAGAAAGGGGGAGGTACCTTGGAGAACAAGCATTCCAATCCATTTCTGTCCTGCTGGCAATCCGACCTTCCCTGGCCTCCATTCCAATGGGTGTCCTGAGACACCACCACTCTTCTCTTTCTGCAGATAGACTCTGTGCCTCTGTATGCCCTTCCCTCCTCTCCCTGCTTCCATCCCATCTGGAAGGTCTTTCTGGGCCATCCTCACACTCCTTTTCAGCCAGAGCAGGTGCTTTTGCTGCATGTCCCAAATACCTTCAGCGTATACTTGACACATTCACTCTGCTGAAATGGTTGGTCCTCCATGTCTGCCCTTCTTCATTTGTGAGACTGGAATGAACCCTGCCCCCAGTCTCTTCATAGGGAGCTTGCAAGGATCCGGCAGAAATGAGAACAACATGGCAATCATTTGTCTGCCTGGATTTGTCTGACATCTTGTACACTTGGAAATGCTGCTTCAGTTGTTTGGGGAGAAGTTGTTTGGGGAATGTCTTTTGTTGTCTCTTTAGAAGGAGACAACGTGAATAAAACCAAGGCAAAGTCAGACTACTAGCAGTAAACTAGTGCTACTGTATTTCTCAGGGTAACAGGGCTTTGGGGCGGTGGGGGAGGGAGGTGGCTCATTTCAAAATGCTGATGGATTAATCAGCTCTTTTAGGAAACCCACATCAGTCAGTGGCCAGTAACGGCTTGCTCAGCTACAAAGACCACATCTAAATGCTGTCCTTTGCAAAGAGTTTTGGGCAGCCAAGGACTGGCGCTGGCAGCAGCCAATTAATTCACTAAGGGAACTGAGTCTGCTCTGAACCTCACCCACTCAGATGAGGAAGCCATCATGATCTCAGCAACCTGTCTTCTGGTGCCCTCTGCCAGCAGCTGCTGCCCAGCCGTGCAGGGCCATCACAGCAAAGGCCATGCTCAGGGCCACTGAACCAAGGCAGAGAGTGGCCCATGTGGCAAGGGCCAGGAACCATGCTTTCATTTCCTTTTATTTTTAACAATGTTTACACGGCTGAGAAAGATGCATGCCCATGTGAACCACCAATTAGGATGGGGAGGGTTGAGGAATTGGGGGGGTGGGAAGCAAATGAGACAACTGCCTCCAATATTTTTCTTCTTGTATCTTGGGAAAGCAAGGAGGGTAGGAGAGAGGGTTGCTGTCAGTAGCCCAACCACATCAGTACCCAGGAATGGAGGATGGCTACCCAATGTCATCCCAGGATCCCCAATGTGGAGCACTCAAGTGGTTTTGACAGTCCTGAAATGCTGTCAATCTCGCCAATCCAATGATGAGAAAATCCTTCCAAGGTGTATTGGTTGACATAGTCCACCTTAGAGTCTCAATTCACCCAGATACTTGCTGTCAAAGCTTGACCAGGAGAGATGTCCAGTTTGGTTTGCCCCCATCTTCTGCTATGGTACTAGATGTCCTCTGCAGGTCCCAATGGACTGCTATATCCCCCAGGTACATTTGGGAATGCCATTCATTGCACCATCTTCAGCAACTGAGGAGGAGCAGTTCTCCACAGTTCGACCACAGATCTGCTGATTCTCCCCCTGGTTGGAGTTCTGAGTCCAGTGGTCCTAATGGAGGGATCCCCAAAGAAACCTCATCTGAGATGACCCCAGAACTAACTCCTGTATGTACTAGTCAATATGGGGTCCAGCTCACTCCATCACCAACATCAGCATATACACACTGGTAGTTGTTGGGTCAATTCTATTTTCAGCCCCATCTCTTACACAAACCAATGGATGTTGCAGCCCAGCCCAACCCACTCCACTGTATCCTCAGCCCTCACATACACCAGTGGGAACTACAGCCCAGTTAGAGCAACCCCCAGTAACCCTCACCAGGCCTGCCCCCAGACCTGGTTCCTATAAATGATGGTATGTACAGCAGACTGGTCTAGTCTGTCCTGCATCCCATTGGCTTTGTACACACCAATGGGTGGTGCTGCAGCCTAGCTCAGCCCAACCAACCCCACCATCCAGCTCAGACTTATACTGGCAGGTGCTACTGCCTGTCCAGCAAGGTCCACCACCAGCTCTTTCTGGTGGAAGCTGCAGCCCATCAGAGAGGTACCCACAGTTTCCCTACTAGGTCTACTCCCAGCCCTGGATCTTGCACTTCCAAGGTTGTTCTACAGTCTAGTTTGACAGGCCTTGCCCCTACTCTCAGCACTTGCCAGCTGATGCTGAGGCAAAACCTGACCAGCCCACACTTGCTCCAGTTTATGTCTGCATAAGTGGATACAGTCACTTAGCCCAGCCTGGCTTTCCTCCTAACCAGTTCACATGCAGGCCAATGGGTATTGTATCCCTGCTCAGCCTGGTCAACCCCCAGTCCCAGTTCTCATACTCACCAGCAGGAGCAGCAGCCCAGCAGCAGAGTCCTTACTGCCCTACTACCGGACTCACAACCCATCCCTGGGCCTTACATGCACTGGGGGGTGCTGCGGCCCAGTCCAGCTTGTCTTGCTTCACCTCAGCATTTGCCAGTGGATGCTGCAACCTGGCCTGATCCAGTCTATCCCCAGTGTCAGCTCATGCTGAAGGGTGCTATACCCAGCCCAGCCTGGAGACTGCCACTAGTCCTGGCCCTAATATGAACTGCTGGTGTTGCAGCCTAACCAGGACTATCCTGTACCCCTTCATGGTTCTCACACCTGCCCATGGGTGCTAGGAACTGGCCCAGCCTGGCCTGCCCACAGACCTGACTCACTCATATGCCGGTGGGTACTGTTAACTGGCCTGTTTTGGGATGCTCCTAGCCTTGGTTCTTGGGCTAACCTTCAGGGACTGAGTCCTGACAGAGGTGTTTTCCAAGCTCTT